TGCCGACTGATGGGATGAACTTATGTCGGACGCCTTGGTCAGGGATACTGTAAGATCTTGTCTATCCCTTGAATTCCTCTCCACCCCACCCCCCAAAGTTCTTTATCTGCTGCCTTGTATCTAAAGGTAGAAACAAAAAGGTCCTCATGGATTTGGCTGTGCAACACCTTCTAGACATTAGAACTACCCAGAAGGTACCAGAGGATCAGGCAGGCAGGGGTTCTACTCTCTCTTATTTCTCGTTCTTAAATCCTCGGGGGGTGGAGATCTATTCTGGACCTTAAAAGGCTGAACTGATACCTTGTGTATAAACAGTTCAAAATGCAGTCACTTCAATCAATTCTGGCTGGCGACTGGAAGGGCAACTTCCTCACCTCTATTGACCTCACTGAGGCATATTTGCACATTCCAATTTTTCCCCACATTGCAGATTTCTTAGATTTTATTATGCCCGTACTCACTATCAGTAGCAAGTGTTACCCTTTGGGCTTTATTCTGCACCCCCTACCTTTACTAAGGTATTAGCGCTTTGGCGGCCCACCTTAGTGTCATATCCGTCCTTGTCCAATGTTACTTGGATGATATTTTAATTCAGTCCTCTTCTAGGCAACTTTCCATAGAGGATCTCCAAGTAACTATTCATTGTCTCAAACATCATAATAGCTTCTCTATTAATATGGAGAAACGCCACTTGACCCCTTCAACCCGCTTGCTCCATCCTGGGGCAGTGATAGATTCACTAGAGGGCAAGGTATACTTGTCTCAGGAGCGGCAGGCCAGCCTCAAAGATCTAGCTGGTAAGTACCGTGGTGTACCCTTGGTCCTGCTACAAAGCTCATAGGCAAAATGGTGTCTGTCATTCACATCACCCCGTGGGCACATCTTCATACAAGAGAACTTCAAAGATTTCTTTTGCCTTTTCAGGCGGGCAGAGGCAATTCGCCAGCCAGGGTCCAGGTTCCCCTTAGTGTCAGCAGATCTCTCAACTGGTGGAGATCACCGGCCATTTCAAGGGGGCGGCTGTTCCACAAGCCTCACCATCTGGTGCTGACAATGGATGCAGCCTCTTCGGTTGGGGGGCATCTCCAGTCACTGGTGGCTCAGGGAAGATGGTCAGGCCGCAATCTGCAGCAAAACATCAATTGGCTGGAACTCTGAGCAGTTTATGTAGTCCCCTTGCACTTAGCAACTATGTGGCCACGAAGACGCACATAAACCACCAGGAGGGCACCAGATCCACTAGTCTGATGTTGGAGGCCAAGACACTAGGCCTTTGGGCGGAGCGTCATCTGCACTCCTTGACAGCGGAGCACATCTCTGGGGTGTCCAACGTGCAGGCAGACTGGCTCAGCCGAACAGTCATCGACCACACAAAGTGGTGCCTGCACCAGTCTCTCTTCTGGGAACTGACAGACCGTTTTGGCATCCCAGAGGTGGACTTGTTTGTTACCCCAGAAAATGCACAACTCCCACAATTTTATTCAAGATTTCCAGCTCCAAGGGTGGAGGGAGTAGATGCTCTCCGCAGCCCATGCCCACAGGGATTCCTTTACGCATTTCCCCCTCTTCCCCTCCTTCCGAAGGTGATGCGGAAAATTCTGGAGGAGCGGGCAGAGATCCTGCTTCTTGCACCTCATTGGCCCAGGAGGCCTTGGTTTGCCAACCTCAAGACCTTGTCAGTGGCTCCACCCTGGAGGATCCCTCAGGACGTAGCTTCACTCAGCCAGGAGGCATTGGCCAACCCGGACCCACAGTGGCTCCAACTGAACGCCTGGCACTTGAGCGGCACGCTCTGAGTGGGGACAACTTCTCCTCCAGGATCATCAGAACTATTCAGGCTTCTTGGAGGACGTCCATGGAGCGTATTTATTCAGCCACTTGGCGGGCCTTTTGTACTTGATGTGACCATGCACTTATCTCTCCCCTCCAGGCCTCAATAGCCTAGATCCTGGAATTTCTCCAGAATGGATTAGATAGTAGGCTATCGCCTAACACCATTCAGAGGCAAGTGGCGGCTCCGTCATCTGTACTGACTTGTGGGTCCCTTACTTCTCTATCTCAGAATCCCACCATACGGAGATTCCTGAAAGGTGCCACTAATTTATGTCCTCCGTGGTACACAGGTACCCTACTTGGGACCTGTCTATTGTGCTGAGATCCCTCACGGGGGCCCCATACAAGCCCTTACGGACTGCCAGCCTCCGCTTTTTGTCCTGTAAAGTTGCCTTTTTGGTGGCAATTACCTCCGCCAGGCGAATTTCTGAAATTGCCGCTCTCTCAGTGCGAAGTGACCTTTGTGTGTTTCACGCTAATTGTGTGGTGCTTCAGCTGGATCCCTCCTTTATTCCAAAGATCAACACACCCTTTCATAGAATGCAGGAACTGATCCTACCCAATTTCTGTCCTCACCCCGCCCACCCCTTAGAACGGTGTTGGCATATCTTGGACATTTGGAGGGCCCTCCGTATATACCTTAAGAGGATTGCTGATTTGAGAAAGATGGAGTCGTTGTTTATCTCTTTTATCCCAGCTTCTTTAGGTTGCAGAGTAACACCTTCCACCATTGGCAGATGGATTCGTCAAACTATTGCCAAAGCGTATGAACTGCATTCCCTACTGAAGCACGCACATGTGATGGCACATTCAACCTGCAGTGTGGCCACGTCGGCAGCGGGGCCACTGACTGAAATTTGCAGAGCGGCTACTTGGATTTCCCCTTTGCCATTTTTTAAACATTATATGTTAGACAGATTCACCTTGGCTAAGGCGGCATTTGGCCACAGGGTCTTGCAGTGGGTTCATACTGAAGGGGAGTCTTCTGACCAGACCGGGGCCCGCACGTAGTTTCAGGGACAGTCAGCTTTGGTATGTCCCATTCCTGGCTGCTGTCTCCACCACTATGGAGAAGGTGCATTGGTCTTACCTGAGATGCACCTTCTCGTTGGGTGGACACAGCAGCCAGCCCCACCCTTGGGTCCATCTGGTGTTCTTTAGGCAGGGCAACCTTTTCTTCTGACACATTGAGTCTGTTTCTTTGTCTTCACCAAAAGCTGGAGACCCTAGCAACAAGGGCAGGACTTGCAACTTTGACAGACTCAGTCCTTCAACTGAACAGACGAGTACAACCCATTCCTGGCTGCTGTCTCCACTCAATGAGAAGGTGCAGCTCAGGTAAGACCAAAGCCCTTTCTCTTATATCATTTAAGCCAAAGAAGGGAAGTCAAAGGAGGGGTATGTCTTAACATAAAAATGTAAGCCTACATATATTTTCTTTTCCCCAAGTTTGTTCTGATTCATGACTTGCATTTGCCACTTGATACCATTTGGTTTAAGCTTCAAGGAAGGGACAGAGAACATTTATATACTTGGGTCATCTTGTGAAAAGATGGGCAGCAAACAAATTTAATAAACAAACAAACAAATAAACAAATGCTCTAGAAAAGACTAACTTGGAATGTGGGGCTGTGGTCAGGAGGACCAACTGGGAGGATAGAATTTACAAAAATTAAGATGGCAAGTAAAACTACATAAGTGAGGTGCATGTCTTTTTAGGTGCATCACAGGCACATAAAAAGAGGCAGAGTTTCAATTACACAGTTGTACTCACTTTTTGCCATCCATCTCTCAGATGCTTCTGCCCACGAACCCAGTTTGTTGCTTGGTTTGATGTTTATTTGGCAACTGTTGATCTCAGCCTACCCTATCTCATGAGGATGTGATAAAAGGAACTACCCCTTGTATGCTACTCTGCATTCTGTGAAGAAGGACAAGAAGCAAACCTTATAAAAAACAAGTTTACACCTCCAGTACTTATTAATATACACCATTTCTATCAAATCTTACACACGATACTGTTCACTGTTAGTCATCCACATATTTGGTTGTTCTGTGAAGATGTGCTATTCTCATTTACCAAATGGGAATATAAGTGCTGCTTATGGCTTATCCCTCTAACATATAGAAGTAGATTTGGAGTCTCCTGGTAAAAAATAAGGCAATCCTGTTTACAGCAGTGTTGTTCTAGCTCGCTTGCTGCACTTTTCTTTTCTTCTTTTGCTTTCCTGCAGCTGAATGATGATGCTTGCCCAAGGAAGATTCACAAAGGAAAGAACCAGTGTGCCGAGGCTTCAAATTTTGGGGGATGTCTCTCCACTCATTACTCTCTTTAGAAGGGAATGGAGCAGGACTGAGGGAAAAGTTGAACTGAATTTAGTTGGAAGGCGATTAAGTGGATGCCTTTATTAGACTTCTATAATTCAAGAATTACAACCGTTGGACCAGTCCAACATGCCATTTCACTTCAGATCTATTATGAATGCTCTTTCTTTTAAAAAAAGAACTGTTTGAAAGATCAGACACTGCAATTTGGTCTTTCAACCTTCCAGAAGATGCTAGAAAAACATGTGATATCACCAGAAACTATACAGACAAAATCATTTGGTCCTGAGGTTTTAAGGTAGGGAATAGAAGTAAAATGTCTCTGAGATGCAAAGTACTTCCATTCCCAGCTTAAACTTTCTCCCAAGATCTGTTGTTTGGCATTATTTTAAACAATTTTCCAATTTTTGGTAATATATGATAATAGAATGGTTTGCTTCCTAGACGCTTTCTGCTCCCATTCTTACCATTAACTTGAAAGAGGAAGAACAAAATATGTCAGTGAATTTTGTTCTGAATTTGAGCCCCATGATCTTAGGGTACTGGGAAATTACATACAGCCCAGAGACTGAGGATTACCTGCCTGAGATCTAAACATTCCTTCTAAACAGGAAGTTAGCTTTAGGGGACTAAAATATGTATTCCAATAAAGTTTGTTTCACCTTGTGGGATGAAAATGGACATATGGAGAAGAAACCAAAACTGGAAAACCTCATTACAGTGTGAAGGGGTGAGGTCCATTTGTTCACATCAGTATCCCTATCAAAGCATCCCAGACATGTATATAGAAAGTTCTCTCTTCCCCCCCACCCGCCAAATACATAGACACACATATATATCTGTGGTTTCTTAGCCAGGGTTCTTAATATTTACTCTCTTGTTTGTCATATGCTGTGGCAGAACATGTCTCATGATCCAAACCTCTCCACAATTTTCCATCATTGTTTCCATCGTTGTTTTCGTTGCAGGCTAGTTATAACTATTTTTCATTCTTCTGTTTCATTTATGCATTAGGATGAGAGGTTTCTGAACATTTATCCTAAAAAAGAAAAAGAAAAAAAATATGATGGTATCTGCTGGTCTAGTGGCATTTCTCATATGACATAGCTGACAAAAGTCCTCTGCAATCCTATTATTAGCCTTGCTGTGATAAAACACTCAACTAAATTTATAGTTGGGTGAAAAGATAACATTAGTGTGATCTCTGCTTCTAATTAAATTAATGACTAGACATCTCAGCTTCTTCCTTAAATGACATCACAGGCATCTGGCAAAAAAAGAGGAAAAAAACTATAAATAAATAAAAGGAAATAAAAAGGAAAAGACACTTCCTCTAGTGTTTTACTATCACAAGATTTTTTTAAGGAAAATGTGTGCAAGAAAAGTCACCATGGTTTCTTATTTCCACAATTTACTAAGGGTGAGTTCTATGAATTAGTCCAGAAGCTTTCAGTGTCAACAGTTTCTGAGATAGTGCATCAAAAACTGAAACTGATTAGCATGTTGGTTTGATACAAACACATATTGCATATTATTTTTTACCATTCTACATTCTGTAAAACAATATCCAATTGCTATTTCTCCGTAGCTTTAGATACATGATAAAGATTAGTGTGAAGCACCTGTTCAAACCTCTTGCTGAAACAAAAGAAAATTTGTTTTGATCTGCATCACTCTTACCAGTGTCAACCTTTCAAGGTGGATCAGACTAGGAAAGCAATGCCACATTGGTTTGTATTGTTTTTACTATGGAGGATTGATAATAGAATCTTGCAAATCTGAATGTTCTTCCCTCCCAGCCTTCCTTCCTCTCATGTGTGCCAGGGAGGAGCTTGTCTGAAATGTTTATCACATTACATTCTTGTCCCAGTCTCAGGCACTTATCTGACCATTTTCTTGGTCAGTACCTTTTTGTCCCAACCCTCAAGGCCATTGCCTCTGTCCAACACAATTTAGAGTCTACCTCCCTCATCCCAAGATTGTATGGATGTATGATCAGGCCAGAGAGGGCTTCTATTGATGTTCTCTGCACGTGCAAAGTTCTTTCTGGTTCTTTTATCTATTGCTGAAGCTGTCAGAAGATATCTCAAGACAATACAAAATTCTGGAATGTTAAGATTGGAAAGGGCTTCTGGATTTTGCAAAAATTTAGTACAAAACACCATATCAGATTTTTTCCCACCTTTATTAAATAAATATCATTTAATTTTGATTTCCTGGCCAAGCTTTGCAAGCTTAATTTACAACCAGAACAGAATTATTTTCCCATGCCTGCTACCCATTTTGAGATAAGAGCAGCCACTTCAGATTCTAAATTGCAATGACTGAGCTTTCTTCTCTCTATTTAATATTAATGTGTTGTAAATGTTTTGCGGTTAAATATGTATGCATTCTACAATTTATATGTGCATTACTCTACATGCTACCTATTTCCTAATTTAGTTAAGTAAGAGCTTACAGATACTGGTGGCAATTTTCCCTTTGTTGATTCAGATTGGAAGCTGGTTTTTCTCTGACTGGTAAAATCTTTCGTCTATAAAGTTCTAACTCCAAAAATGCTTTCTGGCTGGAATAGATAGGTCCCATGATGCCACCCCCTCTTCATCCATAATCACCTGGATCGTGTCTTCATGTTCTGGTCTGAAGGTCATTCACCAACTAAAATACCTTCAGCAGTCTAAACATTATCTAACCCAATTCAGATTTAACACCCCACATTTTTTCTTTATTAAAACAATAAATCTTCAACAGGCAGGACTGTCTACATCTGTCCAAAGTCACTAGCCATTACCTACATTTTCCAGTTCTCATTTCAATCTCTTCCCCAGAGATCCTCTGGTAATTTTGATCTCTTTCTCTAATGCCAACTCAGCATCTACAATCCTTCTGTCTATCTCCTATGGGGATGATTGCTTTGAGAAATTAAACTATATTCTATCTCCAGCTTCTTATCAAATAACTAACATGACATATTTGCCTAGCTTTCTGCTTCGGTGTATGAGATTACTGAGAATACTTCTGTAATCACCTCCAGTAATTCCTTCCCTTCTCTTGGGTTGCACATCTGGTCTCATAGATTTGAATTTGTTTAAACTGGCTCTTATTCCCCTCCTTGCCTATATCAAGCTATAGTTCTGTTTCCTCCACTAGCATAATAATCTATATGACTCCATTTCCCCTTTTACACAAGACAGATGCAGACATTATTTCTAGGGAATCCCATTCAATGTATCTTATTTCTTTGGGTTTTTCTGCACTGTGCACTTAGCTTCTGTTCATGTATTGGTTGGAAATGAAGTTGACTTTAAGAATTTCAGTTTAGATTTTAAATATTTTCTCTTCTTTGGCCATAGTGATGGCCAAGTGGTCTTTCTGGGACCAGTTAACACAGCTAGCTTTGGTGGATTGTCCTATTGCTTTTTTCCCTGCCACCCATGCCAAGAAAACAACTGCTTTCCTTTCTATAGGCATCTCTTTTGCGAACAGGTTAAAAAAAAAGGGAGGGGGAGGTTTGAAATTCTTCTAACTTGTCACCTATTTAAGGGAGAGGTGGGGCCAAAGTCTACTCAACCTGCTTAAAAAAGGGAATTCACCATTCCATTATAAGAACAAGGAAGAGATGCTGCAGTCTTCAAAGGGAATTCACCATTCTATTATAAGGAGGAGAAGGAGATGCATATAGCCCAGCAACCCAGAATGAGATGGCTCTTGACAGCAAAGAGCAAGACTGGAATTTCATACTCAAGGCAATAGGAATGGAGGCATTTGTATAATATGAATTAAAGCATTGCAGCAGGACAAGGCTGCCCTGCTTAAACCAGCAGAAGAGGAAAAATATTGTTTTGGATTCAGAACAAGAAAATTTGGAGGGGGAGTTGTTTTCCTTCTCAGAAATTGAGATGCAGGCTGAGAATGAAGTCATCCAGTCCTGTCCTCTCAAAACAGTAGGTGGCCTTGGAGCGAGCAGGAAATCCAGGTCGATTATTAGCATCACTATTATTAAATTCTATCACAGTCCCATTGTTGCCTAGATGGCATTATGAACATGACAAATTGTTCATAATTTGTTCATGTTATCTAGCTGTCATCATGTAGACAAATCACATGTTTAGAGCTTTCTGTATTTCTTATTATACTGATCTTAGTAATATCCCCATCTTTGACTGTTTCAGAAATTGGCTTTTATTCAACCTTCACTTGACTAGGAGAAACCTTCTTTAACTATGCTCATCCTTGCCAGCCCAACCCTATAATTTCCCTTAGTTGAGCTAAGATCTGAAAAACAAATCTATTTGCCTTCATCCCTGCTGAATTCAGTTTCCCTATTAGATGAAGGAAAGAAGTAGTTTACCATAATTTAATTATTAAATTAAGTTTAATAAAATAAATAAAATAAATAAATAATTGACCACCACAAAGCCCATAAATGACTAAATGAAAGTGCACATAATTAGTACCTGATTAGTTTCCCAATTTAGATTTCCCACTCTATGTATGAAAGTCTGTATGTGGAGCCAACATGGATGCGGAACAGATGGAGACGCAATCTATCCAGATTGGGAATAAAATCTAGGCATGCACAGAAATGTAGTGTGACTGAATCATCCCTGAGGACATCTAGAATTTCAGACCTCTGGTTTAAGCTTCTACACTGAAGTCAGGGAATGTTCCCATTCATTTTCCATGCTGTTCTCTAAACATGTTTTCATCAATGAAACAGCAATCTTAGTTAGATTGACTCAGTGCACCACTCCAGAATTTATTTCTTTATTCCAACAGTGCTATTAAATTTCAACAAAGAACAAAAAAAAGAAAAAAAAAGAAAAAAGAAAAGAAAACATAAATGTTTGATTTCAGAGAATTTTTAATAGCAATAGCACTTACTTAAATATTGCTTTACAGTGCTTTACAGCCCTCTCTAAGGGGTTTACAGAGTCAGTATATTTTCCCCAACAATCTGGGTCCTCATTTTACCCACCTCGGAAGGATGGAAGGATGAGTCAACCTTGAGCCTGGTGAGATTCGATCTGCCAAATTGTAGGCAGCCGGCAATCAGCAGAAGTAGCCTGCAGTACTGCACTCTAACCACTGCGTCACCATGGTTCATATAATCAACTATCTTATTTAATTGGTATCAATAGGTGAAACAAATTGGAGGAGGAGGAGGAGGAGGAAGAGGAGGAGGGTTCAAAAGGGGCATCTATGCCCAGCCTTCTTCTGGCTCAGATGCCCAACAGGTAGTTCAGAAACCACCACAAAATTGAAATTGTGGGTCCTCAACTTTGCCATCCAGAGAATTCCATTGTTTTCTGAATTAATAAATTGCCCTCAAGCGAAGCGAAGCGAAGCGAAGCGAAGCGAAGCGAAGCGAAGCGAAGCAAAGCAAAGCAAAGCAAAGCAAAGCAAAGCAAAGCAAAGCAAAGCAAAGCAAAGCAAAGCAAAGCAAAGCAAAGCAAAGCAAAGCAAAGCAAAGCAAAGATGCTTTTTCAGCAAGTTTTGTGAATTGTCTCAGCTCAGTAGTTCCTGCAAGGCAGCAGGCCTGATTTTTTTCCTTCTTTTTAACTCACACGAGTATGAAGAGAGGATACTAGTTTAAACCGGCGTACAGGCAGTCTGTTAGGTGAAAATGCACATTGCCCTGTTCCCCCAACACAAGACAGCATTGTTTTCACCCATCTCTGAAGAGGGAGGGAGGAAGGGCGATCTTAAAAAGGTGATAAGAAAACACCATTTGGGATATTTTGCAGCATGTGGTAGAGCTCATTAATTTTTACTTACTAGATGCTTTGTGAGAGAATGAAAAAAATAAATAAAAAGGGCATGGGACTCCTATTTTCAGAGGCAGCTGTTTAATAGTTCTCTAAATTCATGCCTTAGATACTCCACATGAAATATGGTCTCTAGAATCTTGTCACTAGAGAAGTCAACCTAATATCTCATTCATGAAGTTCTGTACATAAAATATAAAATAATGTGTTTTATTTCCCAGGACGTTGCCTTCTTTAATGCCTGAAATGGACTGGTCATTGAAAGTTGAGG